CCTCCCACTGCAGTGCCCCCTAAATGGGGGAACGGAGCAGGAACCTGGCCTGCTCTGCTCACTGTGACAGTGTCTGGCCACAGCGGGCATGTGATGCATATATTCATGCCATAAGAATGTTCCATGCATTTTGGTAGGTGTTTTCAAATACTGTTATACTTAATCTTCTCAGGATCTTAAGAGGGAAGAAATGATGTGATCCCTGTTTCACAGATGAAGAAAGTTAGAGAAGCTAAGTACTCTTTCCACGGTCAAGTAAGTGAGGAGTAAGAGCGCTCAGCATTAAACGCAGGTCTGAACGTGCAGCACACGGCCTGGTACATAGTAGGTGCTCACTAAATATTTTCTAAGTATTATAGTTTCTCATTTTATAAGAAAGAAAACTGAAATGGTTTAATGAAGTGACCGGGGCTGTACTCATGGTGGCAGTTTGCAACGGTTGGGGGTTGGGGGCGTGGGCGGGCGCCTGGCAAATGAGTCCAATACTGAGTCCAGTGTGTATACCATAGGACAGAAAATTCACTCTTGCTGAGTGCCTACTATACCCCCACAAGAGGCTATTATTAGCCCCTTCATTGACTGAGGAAATAGAGGGTTGGGGAGACTAAATGAGCTTCTCTAAGGCACATAATACTTGATATGTGTGCCAGAACCTGAATTCAAAAGCAGGTCTGCCGTGCCTCGCTGAATTTCACTTGACATTTCTGGAATCAAGAGAGAAAGCTGCACATTTCTAAGCTCATTCTTTAGAAGAAAAAGTGAAAGGGTGGGAGAGAGACTTTAGTGAACCTCTGCAGCTATGTCCATGCATATAACTGATTTAATTATTTTCCAATGGATCTGTTTGCTTTTGCTGTAATATTAGCTGGTTGCTAAGCAACTGCTCAGGGAGCTAGGAAGCTGAACTTTTTCTGGTACCCAGGCAGGCCCCAAAAAGAGTGACACGAGTAAGTGTTTGGGGGGTCCAACGAGAGGGCTGCCAATCAGCCTGCATCCGGGGGTTTCAGAGTGATTTGGCTCTTTCCGTAAGTGAGCAGGCTGTCATTGAGGGAAGGCTACCTTCCTCCTCTGACACTAAGATTTAACCTCTCCATCATCTCGGTTTGGTCACCTGTAATAATACCTTATGGAGAAGTGTGAAGGATACAAGTGATACATACAAAGCAGCTGGCAGTTGCTGGTACATAAGGCTCGATAAATTAAAACTATCATCATTTTAAATATTAATAGTTTAACAGTGTTTGGTTAGAGCATTTTGTTGGAATTAGTTTATGCTGAAGAAGTCAGTCTCTAGAAGGGTCCAATGGCCTTTTGGGATCCATGGCCACTTCAGTAAACAATACCCTTAACCTCATCCCAAACCAATGCTATGTCACTGGTCACGAAACACATCTACTTTTAGTGTCTGGATCAGAAACAAATCCATCCCACTCCCTGGAAAAAGTATTCCTTAAGCCAATGGCAAGTCAATATGTTTATCTTCGTATGAAAAGGACAGTGTATACTTATTTGGGGCTTCTGATAGAATAACATTACTTCCTAGTTCTCAAAATTCTGGTGCCTAGGAATTACCTAGGTGAGAGATCACAGACTAGTGGTGTGGGGTTGGGGTGGGAGGTACCATCCAGCCTGAAGACATGTTGGTCTGGCTCAACAGTGTTTTTTTTTTTTTTTTTAAATTAGTTGTCAACATTAAAAATTAAAGCACATCAACATCTAGATTTCTAGGCCCTCTTGAAAAACATGAAGCTCTTAGCCCTGCCCTCTGCTTCCAAACCGGAGTGGAGAGATGCTGACTGCCTGAGAGGAAGGCCGTGGTCTCTCTAGCGAATGACACTCAGCATTCTTGGCTCCTTTAGGCCAAGGTCATGGCCCCTGTGAACATCTGAGTTTGTTGACTCCTGATATAAGTCTGTTCCTTCATTTTACAATGAAAAGAAGAGAATTGCTGAAAGTCATACAGTTCACTATGGCACAGAGGGTGAGCTGGAGCAAGGATTCTGGGGGCTCAGCCGGCGCCCCATCTACCATGACACTCAAAGTCAATATCATGATATCCTCCTCAGTACAGGAAGGATGTGGGCACAGCCAATCAACTGAGAGGAGCCAGCAAGAGAAACAGGCCAAAAGCAGGCTGGACTTCCGGGCGGTACCGGCATCTCAGGGGGTAACATTCGAAAGAGCTTCCCTTTCAGAGTCCAGATACTTTTGTAGACAGTTACTGATTTCAGCTGCCGAATCTCTCCCTGGTCTATCTACCTGTCTCTGCTGCTACTTCTGATTCCTTTGCCTCCATCATCTCTCGCCTGGATTAATGCAGCAGTCCCCTGACTCATCTCACTTCCTCTGGTCCTACTGATCGTGATCCTTCCATGACGGGACCACCATGCTCTTCCTTACGTGCACACCCAGTCATGTCATTCTCTCGGGGACTTTCTGTTGCCCCCTGCCCCACGAAATCCAAAGTCCTTAGCATATTTTACGAGAAGTACTGCAGGACCCATCCTGGCCTACACGCTTGACCACATCAACAACAGATCTCTGTGTCTAGCTGGAACGTTGCCACCAATACTGGCTAACTCCGGCTCAGCCTTCAGGCCTCTGCTCAGATCTAACTTCTTCAGGACCAACTTCCCTAAGCTCCTTCCACCCTCAGCTCAGGTTAATAACACACAGACACCCCATCACAGTACCTAAAGAACGTGTATCTTCAACTGTTTTGTTTTTTCCTTCTTTCTATAAGCTCTGTGATTCACAGTTCCTATTTATGTGGTTCACAGATATGTGAGCACATAGTTGGTACCTTGTAAATGTTTACCTACCCAATAAACAAAAAGATGAATAGATACTATGGATGGAGGAGAAGAAAATTCAGGACGGTCACACTATCTTTCCAGTCTAGATGGGCAAGGCACTCTACCTCTCTGGTCTTGACTTCTACATATGCACTAAATGAAGACCAGGCAAGTTCATTTATTCTGAACTCAGCGTCCCTGGACTTCTACAGGGCCCATGAAGACAGGAATGGAGATTCAGGGACAACGTGCAATATTTTAGAACCACTGAACCACACACACCATGATAAGGTGGCTAAGGCCAACCAAAACGTCAGGTGACTCTGCATTAAGAAAATGTTAATTAGAGGGTACACCGGGCACCTCACATGGACTAAGGTCTTGATCAGTAACACATTTGGTCAATACAACACGGGAAGACAATGTAAAAACACAGTCTGCTCGTGTGTGATCTTTTTCACAATATGATGCCACAAGGTAAAATAATAAAATGGTGCTTGGATGGGGAGAGTAGAGAACTCAGACTCCTAAGACGGGGTCAGGTCACTCTTCCTGTGGAAGGGCCCCAGAAGGATGGACGATGGCCCTCTCCCTTCTTGGTCAAGGTGGCCCCGGCCCGCCACCTGTTCCTTTGGGAGCCCTGCCTGACATCCGGAGCCTGTCATCCTGCAAACTGAGAGGCTTCAGAAGCAACAGGGATCGGGCTGAAAGCCCTGTCTGGCCACACGGGGGCGCCCTCACCCCACACTGGGATTTGAGGCCCAGATGGAGCAAGAACAGGACAGGACCCTTCCTAGCGCTGGGGTGAGGGGTGGAGGGGTGTGAGGGGGATGTGGGGTTAGGAACTGGGGCTTACAGGGCTCTGTGCCACAGCCTGTGTTCTTTGGGACCACGCCTGCCACGCTCCCTGAGAGGGTTA